TTAAGTCTTGTCTTATCTTGCAGTTTAAGTCATAAAGTCCAGCAGCAGGTCTAATGTATTGCAGCTGATGCCAAACACAAGCCTGATGCAAAGTCCACCCCCCTCTATGTTCTAGTCCAAGCATGACATGAAACCACAGCCTGGGGACTTGATTGAGATCTTCCGGGCCCCTATCAGCACTGGGCTGTGTATATTGGCAATGACTTCGTTGTTCACTTGGGATTGACAACATTCTGTGAGTCCCCCCCACACACAACTCCATGGACTGCTACTGCCAAATCCTGAACAAAAACAGCCTTTAATAATGGCCCACATTCACTGTCTTTCAGACCAAAATATCAGCTAAGATTGTTTGGTTTAAATTATTCATAATTAATACACCACTCAGAATTGTTGTATTTAGCACATAATCCCGGACATATTATGTCTGTTTCTCTCTCTTTCATTCCTCTTTATTCACAGTTGATGTCGCGGGTGCAGACACCAGCATTATGATGTCTGTCCTGACTGAAAAAGCCATGGTGAAGAAAGAGAAACTGCAGGACGTGGTGGGCGACAACAAGTGGAAAATCAACAACAGCCTGGACGAGAAGTACGAGCCCTGCCCAGTCCAGTTTATTGTGAAGGAGGCCTGTGCACGTGTGGGCAAGGAGCTGCCGTATTCCATCTTCACGGGGAACTGTGAGCACTTTGCAAATGAGCTACGCTATGGAAAAAAAGAGTCCCGGCAGGTCAGTGAACCCAGTCTTTCAGATGCAGGACTCTCTTGAGGCTGGGGTGAAAAACATGAGGGTTCACCAATGTTAAGGGTATAATCAGAGGAGTCTGAGTTAAGATAAGTTAGAGCTTATTGATCCCACCCGGGGGAAAATTACTTTCGTTACAGCAGCTCCAGATAAAACAAAACAGATCATGAAACAGACATACACTGTGATTGATATGAGTTTAGTTTATTTGCTAAAAACAAGCATGGCATACCACAAAATATTGTGCAAGTAGTTTTGGTCATCCAATGAGCTTTAAGCATACTAGGCGACCATCCAAAAACTGACATGTAGTTGATGAGAGGCCAAGTAGGTCAGATTTATCTGCCTAGCGCTGACTGTCCAAAGAAGTCCTATCCAATTGACCCTTCACACCCCCCTGTTGCACTGTTGCAAACTGTCGGACCTGTCGGACTTTTATCACAAATGTCTTCAATGAACAACAAAACACAAGGAATTTGCCTTGCTGTTCCAATACATTTGGTGGGGACTGTATAATGAGTATATAAAGAAGTAAATTTTTAGTATAAAAAACACAATGCATTTATATATACAGTATATACATACATATATATACCTGCGATGGACTGGCGACCTGTCCAGGTGTACCCCCCCTTTCGCGCATGTCAGCTGTGATAGGCTCCAGGCC